GGTAATTTGTTATTTTTATGTAACTCCTTACTATTTTAATTGGGAGTTATAAATCTTAAAATATCACTAATTGATCTTCATGTAATAATGACATGAAGTTTCACATTTGTTCATCTTACTGATTTTTACATTTCATTCTTCCTACAATGGTTTTGATATTGTAAATTTCAAAAAAGTCCCTTTTGTAAAGATTCCGTTATAGTCCGAGTAATAAGGATAATCATAGAGTAAAACAGATCGACGACAATGAGAATGAAAAAGCTGAAAGCGTCTACGAATACATTCGGAATTCGAATTCCGAAAGTGAAGAAAATGATCAAACCGTTCACGCACATGTTCACTCAAACATCGACATGTGTGTTCACTCGTGCACATATATGTTCAATTGGTTCACACAATATGTCCATTTGGTTCACACACATGTTTCAATTGTTCATTAGGGTTACACATTATTTTGATGAAGATTATGAACCTAATTTTTCAATTGTTCATTAGGTTCACACATTGTTTTGATGAAGATTATGAACCTAATTTTTCAATTGTTCATTAGGTTCACACATTGTTCATTAGGTTCACACACATGTTTCAATCTTATCTGGATGTCGTCGCCTGGTAATCCTTCCAAATCCTCCATTGTTTTGATGAAGATTATGAACCTAATTTTTAGTTACTGATTTAAGATATTGATCGATGAGATTGACGGTTTTTTTATTGATTGGAAGTTACAGAATAGGCTGACAAAATAGGATACGTTAAGATCATTCAGTTTTTACAATTCTACCCTCTGAACCATTGTGAACCTAATTTTTTTTATTAATATGGTAATTAAATAATTAAATTTTTAGTCTCAATAAATGACAACCGTTGGATGTTCAAATCAACGACCAAGATAGGTTAACAAAGTTAACACGATAATCTTGGTTAGTATTTGAACCAGCCCCTATATATATATAGAGGAGCGATCAAATGAAAATCACTCCAATTTGTAAAAACCGTAAAAACTACTCTCATCCGTCGTAATCTTATGAAATTTTTTCATGAAATTGTTTAATCTTGTGAAATTGTTTCATATAATACTTTTTTTGATGAAGTTGTTTCATATATGATTATGAAATTATTTCATATACTACTTAATGAAATTTTAATGAAACTGTTTCATTAATTTTAGAAAAATACATGAAACAGTTTCATTAAGTATTATATGAAACAATTTCACAACCATATATGAAACAACTTCATCAAAAAAGTATTATATGAAACAATTTCAC